CGAAGAAGAAAAAATGGTTACTTACCTTCTGTAACTGTTGTTCTTCGAGATGTGGTGTTCACGTCCATTACACATTAGGTGTGCGCGCACGCCGCGTGCATGTACGTCGGAAACTTTTTCCCTCAGCAGCTCCCGTCGGGCCGGCAGGGCCCCCCCTTCCCGCCAGAGCGGCGCCCCGCTCTAGGGTATATATATCCCTGCAGGCCCGACCCTCCCTCGGTTCCTTCTTGCCGGTGACTCCGACAGAGGGGAAGGAGGGTGGGGAGTGTAATGGACATGAACACCACATTTCGAAGAACAGTTACAGAAGGTAAGTAACCATTTTTTCTTCTTCGAGTGATTGTTCGCGTCCATTACACATTAGGTGACTCACAAGCTTACCATTGGAGGAGGGTAGGAGTCAAGGAACAAATAGATTGAAGCACAGCCCTGCCGACCACCGCGTCCTCCCTGGTCTGATGATGGATCGCGTAGTGGGCTGTGAACGTATGCACCAACGACCAGGTGGCCGCCTTACAGATTTCCTGGAGTGGAACCTGCGCCAAGAAAGCCGCCGAGAACGCTTGGGCCCTAGTCGAGTGAGCCCGGATCTCCAGGGCTGGTACGTTGGCGAGCTCATAGCACGTGCGTATGCAAAGCACAATCCAAGCTGACAAGCGTTGCGTCGAGATAGGCTGGCCTCTCGTTCGCTCCGCAATGGCAATAAACAGTTGAGTTGATTTGCGGAATGGCTTGGTCTGCTCTAGATAAAATGCCAAGGCCCTACGGACATCGAGGGTATGCAGGCTGCGGTGGCTTGGGTCCGTATGGGGCTTAGGGAAGAACACCGGTAGACAAATGTCTTGGCCCATGTGAAAATGCGTGACCACCTTTGGAAGGAATTTAGGGTGTGGCCTCAGTTGTACCTTATCCTTATGAAAAACTGTATAAGGAGGTTCCGAAGTGAGGGCTCTCAATTCCGATACCCTCCTGGCCGATGTGATGGCCACGAGAAACGCTACCTTCCATGAGAGATGCATGAGAGAGCAAGAGGCTAGGGGTTCAAAGGGTGGCCCCATGAGTTTAGTTAGGACCAGGTTGAGATTCCATGCAGGGACCGGCGGGTGCGAATAGGGAAACACCCTTTCCAGTCCCTTGAGGAATCGGGCTACTGTGGGGTTGGAGAACACCGAAACTCCCAACTCCCCAGGATGGAACGCCGATATGGCAGCCAGATGCACTTTAATTGAGGCGGGGGCAAGCGCTTGATGTTTGAGGTCCAGCAAGTAGTCCAGAATTGACGGGACCGAGGCCCGCAGAGGCTGTATGTGGTGAGGCTCACACCAGTGGGAGAACCTCCTCCATTTGGCAAGGTAGGTCGCTCTTGTGGAGGACTTCCTACTACCAAGAGAATTTGCTGGACCTGGTGAGAGCACCTGTGCTCCGTATCGTTTAGCTAGAGAGATACCACGCCGTGAGATGTAGCGACGGTAGGTTCGGGTGGAGTAGGCGACCTCGGTCCTGTGTGATGAGGTCACAATGGAGGGGGAGGGCAATCGGGGTGGTTATGGACAGTTCCAGCAGGGTCGTGAACCAATGCTGGCGTGGCCATGCCGGGGCGATGAGGATGACTGCCGCCTTGTCCCTGCGGGTCTTGAGGAGGACCTTGTGGATGAGCAGGAATGGAGGGAAGGCATACCTCAGGCTCCCGCCCCACAGAATCACGAAGGCATCTGCCAGCGAGCCCGGGCTGAGGTTCTGGTAAGAACAAAACTGAGGGCATTGGCTGTTGTCCTTGGTGGCGAAGAGATCCACCAGGGGAAACCCCCACCTCTGGAAGATCGAATGCAGGACGTCCCGTCTCAATGCCCATTCGTGCATGTGGTAGGACCGGCTGAGGCGGTCTGCTAACCCGTTTTGGACCCCTGGGAGATATGTTGCGATTAGGTGGACTGAATGGGCTATACAGAAGTCCCATAGGCGGAGCACCTCGTGACAGAGGGGAGAGGATCGGGACCCGCCCTGCTTGTTTATGTAGAACATGGCGGTAGTGTTGTCCGTCAGAACTGACAAGCTGTGGCCTTCTATGGTGGCATGAAAGGTCTGACAGGCGAGGTGAACCGCCCTTAGCTCCTTCAGATTGATGTGAAACAACTTTTCTTCCCTGGACCATAAGTCCTGGGTCCACAGGTCCCCCAGGTGCACCCCACAACCCAGGTCCGACGCATCTGTTACTAACGTCAGAGTGGGTTGCGGGGCAGCGAAGTGGACCCCCTCGCAAACCTGCTGCTGATCGAGCCACCAGCGGAGGGAGTTCAACACCTGAGCCGGGATTGTCACCACCAGGTCTAAAGGGTCTCTGTTGGGGTGATACGTTTGGGCCAGCCACAACTGTAATGGCCTGAGTCTTAGGCGGGCATGTCTGACTACATGCGTGCAGGCCGCCATGTGCCCTAAGAGTTGCATGCAGCACCTGGCTGTAGTCGTGGGAAATTGTTGGACGGAGCCTACGACCCTTTGAATGGCCAAGAACCGTGACACTGGAAGACTTGCCCGTGCCACCACCGAGTCCAGGACTGCTCCTATGAAGTCCAGTCTCTGCGTGGGGATCAGTGAGGATTTGGGCACATTGACCAGTAGGCCGAGCTTGCAGAACACCTGTAGAGCCAGCGTCATGTGGAAGCGGACCTCAGCCTCCGACCTGCCTGCGAGGAGCCAGTCGTCCAAGTACGGGTACACGCGCATCCGTCTCTTCCGAAGAAAAGTTGCCACCACGGACATGCATTTTGTGAACACCCATGGGGCCATTGCCAGGCCGAAGGGCAGGACCGTAAATTGAAAATGGCGCTGGTTGATGGTGAAGCGCAGGAACCGCCAGTGGGCCGGGTGGATGGCGATGTGAAAATACGCATCTTTCATATCGAGGGCAGCGTACCAATCCCCCGGATCCAGGGATGGGATAATAGCTCCAAGTGAGACCATACGGAAACGTGTTTTGATCAGAAATTTGTTTAGTCCGCGTAGGTCCAAAATAGGACGGAGGCCCCCTTTTGCTTTGGGAATCAGGAAATACCTGGAGTAGAATCCTTTCCCCCTTAGGTCTGGGGGGACCTCTTCCACTGCTCCTACTGCGAGGAGGGTCCGCACCTCCTGCCTGAGGGGTTGCTCGTGAGAGGGGTCCCTGAAGAGGGACTGGGAAGGGGGATGGGAGGGAGGGGGCGAGGAGAACTGAAGGGTATAGCCCACCTCCACCGTGCGCAGGACCCAGCGGTCCGAAGTATATGTGACCAAGCACGGTAAAAACGGGACAGGCGGTCCCTGAAACATAGGAGGTGGATCCGGAATAGTGTGGTACGCTGTCCTCGATCGCAGCTTCAAAACCCTGGTTTTATTTCCTGGCTGCGGCTTGCCTTGGCCATGATTTTGGCTCTGGTTAGGAGTATTGTTACGTCTCCGCCTGTTATCCCTGCTGCGTCTGCGGTACGGTTCCTGTCGAGGATGAGGGTGATACTGCCTCTGTGGTGGTTGGGGCTTGAAGGGTTTCCTCTGTGTCACCGGGGTATGCATTCCCAACCAGTTGAGGGTCGCTCGAGAGTCTGAGGCTATGTAGTCTGGCATCCGTCTGGTCTGAAAACAAGCCTGACCCCTCGAACGGAAGGTCTTGAAGGGTGCTTTGCACCTCTGGTGGAAGGCCAGAAGCCTGTAACCATGCCGAGCGTCTCACTACTACCCCCAACGCGATAGTCCTAGCAGCTGCGTCTGCGGAGTCAAGGGAGGCCTGTAGGGAGGTTTTAGCTACCGCCTTCCCTTTGTCCACTAGAGCCGTAAACTCGGGTTGCGAGTCCTGAGGCAGGGATTCCTTAAACTTGGAGACTAATGCCCAAGAATTAAAGTTGTGTCTGTTCAGAATCGCTTGTGATTAGTGATCCTCAACTGGAGGCCCCTGGACGAGTAGACTTTTCTCCCAAATAAATCCAAGCGTTTCGCCTCCTTGGCCTTGGGGGCCGGGGCTTGCTGGCCATGACGCTCACGTTTGTTGACCGCAGAGACGACTAGCGAACAGGGAGTTGGGTGAGAGAAGAGGAAGTCAAACCCTTTAGATGGGGCGAAGTATTTCCTCTCCACGCCTTTCGCAGTTGGTGCACTGGAGGCCGGTGTTTGCCATACTGTTTTGTAGTTGGACTGGACCGTTTTTATGATCGGGAGCGCAATCCTGTTGGGGCCCTCCAGACTTAAGATGTCGACCATGGGGTCCTCCTGCTCTACCGTCTCCTCCGCCTGCAAGCCCAGATTGAGGGCTACCCGGCGGAGCAGTTCCTGGTGAGCCCGATGATCAATTGGAGGAGGGCGAGACACTGTTGTGCCCGCCACGGCTTCGTCTGGTGAGGAGGAAGAGGTCAGGGCCTTTTGCGCATCTTCGTCTTCCTGCAACTGCTCACCGATCGGGCGCTCCTCTGGGGCCCGTCCCATGACATGGGTCTGAGACGGTACCGGGCTCGGTGCCGAGTCTGCCCCCTCTCGCTCTGGTGGTGGCCTCCTTGCAAGAGGGCGGGCGCCACTGCAGAGAGCGGGACCGGTGTCCCGAGGGCCCAGATCTCGAGGTCCTGGACGGGGGGCCTTGCTGGTGGTAGGCCCAAGGGGTCCAGAATGGCCATTGTCCTGGCTGGCCCCATTGAGGATGCCAAGCGGCTTCGTGGTCCCTACTGGCCTGTGCCCTGTGGGCATATCCGCCGTTCGGCCTGAGTCTGCGTCCGAAACCACGGACGGTTATCTGGAAGGCCACGGCAGTGCCGGTCTGGGGTCGGGGAGTAGTGCCTCCGTGACCAGGACCTGGAGTAGCTTCTTGCCGATCTGGACCTGGATCGGTACCAGTGACCACGGGATCGGGAACGACTACGGGTGGGCGGTCTCGGGGGTCGTGTAACTGACACGTCCCGGTGCCTATTTGAGTAGGGCTGCTGGGTCGGTGCCGGCCACTTATTGAGGCCTGACGGCTGTGGAGCTCTCTGCATGGAGGGAAGCCGGGAGTCCACCGAGGCGGAGCTCGACCAGGACCGGCGCCGTGAACAGTGCCGAGATGGCGACCATGATGGGCGCACCATTGCGGCTTGCCTCTGGATGGCAGTCTCGGCAGAACGTCTTTAGCTTGGATGGGGCCCTCAGCGGACAATTCAATGAGGTCCTTTGCTGCCTCAAATGTGTCCGGGGTGGAGGGCTGCTCCGAAAGCTCCTCCAGCCCTTCCTCCCCACTCGACGCGCCTATCCCGGGGCTCGATGGGCCTTTCGGCGCCGGAGCCACTGACACCAGGACCTGTGCCAGGCCCGCAACAGCCTTAGACGCACTCGAGGTCTTCGTGGGCGCTGCCCTCTTATGCGGGGAGCGTCCTCGGGCCTTAGGTTGGCCCTTCGATTTTGTCGGCAAAGACGACCGATGCTGGAGGTGTTCTCGCTGATTCGGTGCCGTGGGCTTAGGGTGCCCTGCCGGTGCCGGGCCGGATCACGGACCGATGCCGGGGCACTCCGCACCGAGGCTGATGGTGCCGTTGAAGTGGAGGGCTGTAACGCCATCTCCATGAGCAGCTGCTTAAGGCGAAGGTCTCTCTTTCTTAGTCCTGGGCTTGAAAGCCTTATAGATCTTGCAGCGCTCTTTTTGGTGTGCTTCCCCCAGGCAACAGAGACACGAGTCGTGTGGATCGCTTAATGGCATAGGCTTACGGCATGTGGCACAAGCCTTGGGTGTGCGGCATGCCCCGCCGCCCAGGGCCGGTGCCGGGGTTGACCAAACACCTAATACATGAAGTTTGAGTATTTCTAAAGAACTGTTAACTGCTAAGCTTAACACTAGCTAATAAAGAACTGACACCTGTAAAGATAACACTAACGACTATGCTAAGGGACGCTCTCAAATGAGAGACAGTTGTTCCAACGCCGCCTTGGACGGTAAGAAGGAACTGAGGGAGGGTCGGGCCTGCAGGGATATATATACACCCTAGAGCGGGGCGTCGCTCTGGTGGGAAGCGGAGGGCCCTGCCGGCTCGACGGGAGCCGCTGAGGGAAAAAGTTTCCGACGTCCATGCACGCGGCGCGCGCACGCACCTAATGTGTAATGGACGTGAACAATCACTTGAAGAAGAAAAAGTTTTTCCTAATATCCAAGGTCAGTTTCTCCCAAAGCCTTTTGAATGACAGCCCTGCTGTGCTTTAGATTAGCCACACCTGTCCTGAAAGGAAGAAAGATCTGGCACTTCCTGAATCCTGCAGAGTTTAATACATTTGATCAAAAGATCATTAAGCCATTCATTAGGAAAGAGACCAGGGAGTCTTCGTGGGTAGGTCAAGAAGAAAGCCTAACAGCAGCAGTGAAAGCTATGAGAATGCACTGGATACTAAACACCACTCAGAATTAACAATGGTGCCTCCTCTGGAATACAGCGTCTCATTTTCATAGCCTCACCTTAAAATATAGTGGAGGCTGAAAAGGCCCAGAAAGTCATTAGATTAAGGATGGAAACACTTAGGTCTGGTCTCTATTAGAGTTAGGATAATTCAAGGCAGCTTATGTCGACCTAACTGTGGAAGTGTCTATACTTAAATTTTGCTCTCATCAATGTAATTGCCCCGCTATGCCAACTTAGCTCCAGCTCCATGAGTGTCAGAGTCAATATAGTTAGGTCAACGCAGTGTCAGTGTTGACCCTGTAGTGCTTTTGTCAACGGTTACTGGCTTTCAGGAGCAGTCCCAGAATGCCCCAAAATGACAGTACAATTGATACAAGCACTGCTAGTGAGGACACACCGCTGACACAAGAAGCAAAATGTAGACATTAATTACTGTGGCAACCTATGCCAACCTAAGTTAGGTCATCTTAATTTTGTAGTCGAGACATGGCCTTAGCGATGATGAGAACTTGCGAAGGCTGGAACTAGTCAGCCTGGAAAAGGTTTGAAGTGACTTTATTGAGGAACGATACAGAAAACACCGATTGCTCTTGTATTATGGGGGAGGGTTGAAAGGACAAGTCTTATGCATAAGCAACTCCCACTACTGCTTGGAGCCTTTAACACCTATGGGGCTAGGTCAATTCACACCCACCCTGCAAGTCATTAAATGGCAGGAAGTTTAGATGCAATAAAGATTCATAGATTCTAGGACTGGAAGGGACCTCGAGAGGTCATCGAGTCCAGTCCCCTGCCCGCATGGCAGGACCAAATACTGTCTAGACCATCCCTGATAGACATTTATCTAACCTATTCTTAAATATCTCCAGAGATGGAGATTCCACAACCTCCCTAGGCAATTTATTCCAGTGTTTAACCACCCTGACAGTTAGGAACTTTTTCCTAATGTCCAACCTAGACCTCCCTTGCTGCAGTTTAAGCCCATTGCTTCTTGTTCTATCCTTAGAGGTTAAGGTGAACAAGTTCTCTCCCTCCTCCTTATGACACCCTTTTAAAAACCTGAAAACTGCTATCATGTCCCCTCTCAGTCTTCTCTCTTCCAAACTAAACAAACCCAATTCTTTCAGCCTTCCTTCATAGGTCATGTTCTCAAGACCTTTAATCATTCTTGCTGCTCTTCTCTGGACCCTTTCCAATTTCTCCACATCTTTCTTGAAATGCGGTGCCCAGAACTGGACAATACTCCAGCTGAGGCCTAACCAGAGCAGAGTACAGCGGAAGAATGACTTCTCGTGTCTTGCTCACAACACACCTGTTAATACATCCCAGAATCAGGTTTGCTTTTTTTGCAACAGCATCACACTGTTGACTCATATTTAGCTTGTGGTCCACTATAACTCTGAAACCCCTTTCTGCCATACTCCTTCCTAGACACCTTTCCTTTAGGCTACATAAGGAAAGGAACCCCTTTCCTTTAGGCTACATAATCTACCTATGCCACGTTAGCCCCAAGAGGACATCAACTTGAGCAAGGCCACCTGGTACCAGAGCCCAGAGAATTCAAAAGAGCCTCCTGCTGCAGGGCACAAGCAGATTACAAGAGCCTGGAGAGTCCTGCTGAGACCCAGCAGCACCACATACCTGCAGCGCCTCTTTGGCTGCCTCACATTTTTCTCTGCGGCCAGAAATGATGATAATGTCGCACTTCTTTGGGGAAGTGGGATCAGTTTCCTTAGCTTCTTTTCCTTCCCCACTCTCCTCTCCATTCTCCTGCATGGCTGGTTCTGTGGCAGGGGCTGAGATCATGGAAACAAACAGAATAAGAATCTTCTCAGCGAGTACAGAATTGAGTTTCTGTAAGTGGTATTACTCCCACAGAGATCGGTACCAACCCTCCACCTTGCCCAGCAGGACCCCAAGGCACACAGGGAGGGCGACAGACATTCACCATAAAGAAAGTGAGATTTTAATAGCATTTCATTAGTACAAGAGGTTACCTATCATCAGTGCTACTATTATGCCCTGCTCTGTACATAGGAGAACAGCCTCTCTCCAGCCCAAGAAAGAATTCCTCTTATTGCCCCTTCTGCATGGCACCCCCTGCTTACCCAGCAGCAGCAGATTATTGTAATAAGCATTACACATAGCCCAGCATTGCTGTCTGAGAACCCACATTCCCAGTTGCTTTTCTTTCAGTGCACAGACCCAGAATATTTCATATTAAAAGCAGCATATTCTACATCCATCAGGACTGTTGTCTAGTTTCATGCTCTGTTCACCACCTCCAAGTGATGTCCCCCTCTCTCAGCCCTCCCTCACACCTTATTTAACATGTGCAGTTAAACTTAAGGCAGCCAGGAATCAATGAGCCTTGCTGTGTGTGGTGTATACATTAGAGACCAAACTTGGCAATATGTAGTGGAGCAAACAAGCCATTCCCCTTTCACTTGGGGGAGTCGGAGAGAGGTAAGGAAAGGTGGTTTGTTTAAAAGTTCTCCATTTCCAAAAGAGTTTAAAAGGTAAAAGACTAAGTTTATAGAACCTCTACTGCTGTTTGTTGTACACCAAACAATAGCTCTCTCCTGCCATTGCAGTTAGGCTCCTTTAAGAACCAGGCCAAAAGGAGACAGAAGCAAAAGGACAGCAGTTCTAGTCCATATTGAGAACGAGATGCTGTCATGGTTGCCCGTTTTAGTATTAGGCTTGGAGGAAGGCTAAGGACTGCACAGCTCAAAGCAGCAGTGTCCACTGGCAAGGCTCCCTCCTGCCCACATCGCCCCTCTGCAGGGAGGGACTTAAACTGCATGACTTGGGTTCCCTCTGAAGGAGCAGCACAACCCCCAGCCATCTGGGTAGCTCAGAGCACCCCCCGCAACACTGAAGTAGGGAACAGCCACTCTTACAGCCTCAGCTTCTAGTGAAGTAGAGTTCTCAAAAGCATCATACCTGGGTTCTCCTCCCTGTCGGGGAATTTGATTTGAACACCATAGTCGCGGGTGATCTGCTGAATTCGGGAACCTTTGGGGCCCATGATGGAGCGGTGAAACTTCTGGGGGATGGTGCACTCTATTGTCACCTGAGCTTCCTGCATGTTTGACAGAGAATGCAGGTGAATTATTCAGGTGACACCTGTTGTCATGCCCTCCCTCCCACTTGATCAAAATGCGATTCTCAAAGATTTTTCATCATAGCAAGTTCATAGAGTCATGTGTGTCAGGCAGGAAGGGAGCAGGGTGGAGGCAAAAGGTTGGGACTAGGGCTGTCAAGAACACTGTTAATAGAATACCTTTTATTTAAATATTTTTGGATGTTTTCTACATTTTCAAATATATTCATTTCAGTTACAACACAATACAAAGTGTACAGTGCTCACTATTTTTGATTGCAAGCGTTTGCACTGTAAAAAACAAGAAATAGTATTTCAATTCACCTAATACAAGTAATGTAATGCAATCTCTATTATGAAAGTTGAACTCACAAATTTAGAAGTATGTACAAAAATACTGCATTAAAAAAAAGTAAAATTTTAGAGCTTGCAATTCCACTCAGTCCTATTTCTTGTTCAGCCAATCATTCAGACAAACAAGTTTGTTTACATTTACAGGAGATATTGCTGCCTGCTTCTTGTTTACAATGTTACCTGAAAGTGAGGACAGGTATTCTCATGGCCCTGTTGTAACTGGACTCGCAAGATATTTATGTGCCAGATGCGCATGCTTCAACTACCATTCCAGGGGGCATGCATCCATGTTGATGACGGGGTTTGCTTGAAAACCATCCAAAGCCGTGCGGATAGACGCATGTTCATTATCCGAATCAGATGCCACCAGCAGAAGATGGATTCTTTTTTGGTGGTTCAGGTTCTGTAGTTTCTGCATCAGAGTGTTGCTCTTTTAAGACTTCTGAAAGCATGCTCCATACCTAGTCCTGCTCAGATTTTGGAAAGCACTTCAGATTCTTACATCTTGGGTCGAGTGCTGTAGCTATCTTTACAAATCTCACATTGGTACCTTCTTTGCAGATTTGGCAAATCTGCAGTGAAAGTGTCCTTAAAATGAAGGCATGTGCAGGGTCATCATCCGAGACTGCTAGAACATGAAATATATGGCAGAATGAGGGTAAAACAGATCAGGGGACATACAATTCTTCCCCAAGGAGTTCAGTCACAAATTTAATTAACATTTTTTTTAAACACGTGTCATCAGCATGGAAGCATGTCCGCTTAAATGGTGGCCAAAGCATGAAGGGGCATACAAATGTTTAGCATATCTGCCATGCAAATAGCTGTTCTTATTTACAATGTTACCAGAAACTGAGAAGAGGGCAGCATTATCTCCTGAAAATGTAAACAAACTTGTTTGTCTGAATGATTGGCTGAACAAGAATTAGGACTGAGTGGACTTGTGGCTTCCAAAGTTTTACATTGTTTTGTTTTTGAGTGCAATTATACAACAACAAAAATAAAAAAAATAAAATCTACATTTGTAAGTTGCACTTTCAGGACAAAGATTGCACTACAGTACTTGCATGAGGTGAACTGAAAAATACTATTTCTTCTGTTTATCATTTTTACAGTGCAAATATTTGTAATCAATATACATACTTTGATTTCAATTAAAACACAGAATACAAGATATATATGAAAAATGCAGAAAAACATCCAAAATATTTAATAAATTTCAATTGGTAATCTTTTGTTTAACAGTGTGATTAAAACTGCAATTAGTCATGAGATTATATATCTATATCTCTATATTTATATATTTTTTGAGTTAATCGTGTGAGTTAACTGCGATTAATCGACAGCCCTAGTTGGGACAGAGCAACAGTTATTCTGTCCAATACATTTCCAGAATCCCTTGTACCTCCGCATCCAAGAAACAAAAGACAGCCTGTCCTCCAAAAGCTACCCCACACCTGACTAAGGGCCACAGACCAGAACTCCATTTCCACATGCATACCTCTCCTTCACGAGGCTCTTCAGGGGGAGGGAGGCTGGGGAACAGCTTGTTTTGGAGGCAAGGACAAGAGCACAGGCACTTACCTGCTGGTGAGTTGTAAGAGCCAGCCTTGGGAGGATTGGCTCCAATTCTTGAAGCAGGAACCCCAAAGTTAGCACCCATTGCCTGAAGTGCTTTGTGCACCATCTCCCAGATTGGTATGTGTCAGAGTCGGGAGCAAGTGAAAGCTACTCTTTAATAAGACAGTGTTGAAAGTACAGCTCCTCACCTCCCCCAGAAGACACCAAAGGGCAGAACCGAGCAAGCCAGAAAGATACCTAGAAGAGAATTATGGACCCCTAACCACCACCCTTCTGCTCCTACAATGAGAGGGGAGGCAGGGACCTTGAGCGGAGGAGGACTCATAGGCATTAAAGAATTGAAGTGCACAGGAAACACAGCAGAGTCTTGGCCGAGAAGAAACTGCCAACCCAAACAGCTGGCTAAGGGAAGGCCAAAAGGGGATGTATATCTCCTCCCAGCCAGGTACCTTTCCTAGGCTAGGATCTAATTAGGGGGTTATCCTGGAGATTCCTAGGTTTTGACCCAGGCTCAGAGTGTCAGATACACTATGGCAGGTCACATGGGCCCCAGGTTCCTCAGGTCAGAGACTGGGCAAAAAACAGGATCCTCCACATTACATGGAGCAGGGGATTTTTTGGGGGAGGAGGGGTGGTACAGAAAAGGGACTTGTGATACATGCAAGAAATAGAGTGGCTGCTTCTTAATAAAACAAGCCTGCTGGGACACACACCAGGTCCTCAATGATCTCCAGGATGCGTTTCTTGGCTGCCTCCACACAGTCCTTTGCTCCCTTGAGGGTGACCTTGTCACTCTGGGTGCCAGAGCGGGGGAAACTGACCATCACACCACCATATTCATCAGCAATCTCACGGAGAACCTGCCCTCTCCGGATTACAAAGTGTCGGTGGTGCTTGGGGTCCACCACCATGAAGTCCTCAACCACATTATCCTGCGGAGAGGAGACATTACACAGTGATGTTTATTCATTGCACTACTTCTGGATTAAAAAAATCCCTTCCATAGCTCACAACATGGGACAATCCTCTACACTGCACACAACCCACTTCTCTAATGAAGAGCATGCATATCTTAATTCTTGAGCTCCTACCAGGGCCTCTCAAATAGACATGTCATCCATATCCAGGGCCAAGCAGTTCCTCCCAACTGACAGGTTAGCACCTGCTACCACCTACGCTGCAGAGAAACACACATGGGAAGTGTGGCTAGAAAGACAGAAGTGAATGGAGGAAGCCTCCCTCACCAGGTTCTTGATGAGTGCCTCCAACTCCTTCTGAGCCTCCTTGACAGCCCCCTCGGTCCCCATGATGGTAATCAGCTCCTGGTCTTTGTCTTCAGAGGTTGGGAAGATGATGCGGGCCCCTGTGTTATCACGCACCTTGCGGATATTGCCACCACCTTTGCCAATCAGGAATTTGTGATACTCTGGCTTGGCACGAAGGTCCACTGTGTAACTTTTAGTTTGCTAATGGAGGTCAGCCCCCCCCAGAGAACAAAGCACAAATGAATACTCAAGAGTACATGCAAACACAATTATTTCACCATCAGAATATATGGAGAAACTTCTGGAATAAATTTGTGTACATGCACATTTGGCTAAGCATGACTAGTGTCACAGCCTAGAAATCCAATCTTTCAAAGTAAAAGCAAACTAGAAGCATTCTGGTATCTGCAAGATCAGAGATGTTACTTCATGTTCTCCAGGCATCAGAATGTTTGCACCATGAGAACTTGCATTTGGGAGGATGTCACCTTACTTCAGATATGCCACAACGCAATCCAGTAAGAATGCAGCAGGATTAAAATGGAACTGAAAGCAGATGGGAGCAGGACCAAGTGAGCCAGAGAACTGCTCATTCACAAGATGGGCCAAACCCATAGTAGGATAAGCCAGTGTCACGCCACTGGCCAGCTACGCAGGCTTACTGCATCTGAGAGTCTGGCCCATAACATGAGAGTACACAGCACTTTCACCAGGCAGCCATTTCCAGGAAAGTTTTGTTAATGAATGAAGTGGCCAGTCATGCATCTTAGAGTAACGTCCTGTCACTTGAGACCCTAATTACATCTGTAATTATATCAAGGGATGTGAAAAAATAATGCCACTCATTTGGAATCTGCAGGCATGGGCTAAGGCCAGATAGGAGGGAGGAGTGAAGGAAAGTTGCCTCTCTCTGAGTTTAACTAACTCCAGTCACACACCAGTGTGTTTCAATTCCAAGTGGGGTGAGGGTGTGTGTGTGTGGGGGGTGGGGGTGGGGGTGGAAGAGGACAACGTTTCTGCTCCTTCATCCTGACCCAAAGAGGCATTTGAGCAAAGGGCAAATCAAACAAAGGGGTTAAGTTACTTTGCTGGCAAAGCAGCTAGTTCTTTTACTAACTGGAAAACCACCAGGATTAGGGCCTCTTGTCCTAGGAGTGGTGGTACCAGTGTTCCAACTGCGTTTACAGTAGGAGTATAGTGACCCAAAAGACAGGGCCCCCCTTATACTGTCCACCCCACCCAGCACCTCTTTGTGGTAAGGCACACAGAGGGGGATCGATCACACATTAAGAGGGAAGAGATTGGTTGACTCTGATCCTTCTACCTATTTGCAGGGCTCACCTTCTCCTCTGCCAGGTGCAGCAGCTGTTTCTTGGCCTTCTCCACATCCTGAGCAGGGCCCCTGATGGTGACGGTATCACTGCCAGAGCCCTCTGTGGGAAAGTGGATGTGGACCCCACCACACTCCTCCATGATCGAGCGAATGAAGCGACCTTTGGCACCAATGAGAGAGTTGTGGAGCTTTGAGGGGATGGAGACCTCAACCTCTGTGATGTCCGCCTAGGAGAAGAAGCCAGGGCATTAAGGTTGGATTGTATGGCAACTTGTTGGGAGGAGACTGTTGAGGTAAGGGGGAAGCAGACCCAGGCAGTCTGTTCCTCTTCTGCGGATATCAGAATACTGAGATTATTGGGGATTTCAGTACTGGGAGATGACCACACAACTGCTTATTAAAAAGCAAATCTGAGCAGAGGATTTGGGATATCTGCCAAGCAGCAGCTGGATGTGCCAGCACATGCCAGTCTCCCAGCACAATAATGGGCACTGGGAAAAGTATTACCCCCCCTCCCATGGCATGGTTACCTTTTGGGCACAAAGAAGAGTTTTAGTAGATGATGCTTCTTTCAGAAGAGAAATGAATAATATATATTCAAAAAGATTCTGGTCAGAAGTATTGGCTGGATTCATGAAAACCTCCACATGGAGACAAGTGGCTGCAATACATACTACTGGAAATTGTATCCTGGACTTGTCTTTCCTAGATGTTCTCAGGATTAGGCAGGTAGATTTTTTGCCTACTTTGGTGACCTGACAAAGCTTGCTATGTTTTGAGGACTCAGTTCAATTTGGTGGTCCTCAATTATCTGGGGAGATTGGTCTCAAATTAAAGCAACCTCTGTATTAAACGTTTTATTAAGCAGTTCAGTTGCTAGCACGGTTAACATTCAGAATTTGAACAATGAAAGAATTTTTTTTTTTTTTTAAAGTTTCCTTGAGTTCAGCTGTCTTTAATATAGGATTTTTAGCATCAGCTCTCAAGATTTGCAACCTAATAAGCTGGATACGGAGGCCTGACTAAAGAAACTGCCAAGACAATTAGGCATAAGACAAGAACCTCATGGGAAAGGACCATAAGTATCTTTTGCTGAGAAGCTGGGCTCTTTGATCTTAAGCATGCTAACATTCAAGTCATGAACTCAACATATGAGACTGGATTCTTTAAGTTTAACTACCTCCTGTATAATTAGTTTGCATCGTTTGTGTGTATTTAAGGTGATGTCAAGTCACCTATGTTTTGTCAGGCCTCTGTGCTCCATTTATAACACCTTAAATTAACCAGTTCCTGTTACCAGCTCTTTTTGGATGGAGAGAATTCGGTGGCGAGCGGCTTCACAGTTTGCTCTCTTGCCAGTGATGATGATTGTCTCTGAGTTGCTGTTCTCTGCTGGGAGATCGATCTTGGTGTTGCTTTCCTCACGGATCTGCAATAAGAAACAAATACATGTTTGAGGTTGAGCATGGAGGAGGAAGCTCTGGAAGGCTAAGTTTTACTTCACCACCAAGCAGGTGGTATTGATGAGTGGAAGGTAGCTGAAGGCAGAGAGAATTAAGGAACTTTGTAGAACATTTGAGGGCCAGTAGCAACGTCACCTTTTTGATGTTGGCACCTCCTTTCCCAATGATGTTCTTGTGGAATTGTTTGAAGATGGGAACAGAAATAGAAAAGCTGTTTTCAACCTTACAAAGAGAAAGAATAGAATTAGTTAGCTGAGGAGATGAAGTCACACCAACAAGCTTGGTCATGCCTCACCCTTTCTATTTCTGTTAGGATTTCTTAAAACACCTGGAAAAGAGCCTTTGTTTACCATTCTGCCTAGAAGTTGCCTGACTGCTGATGAGAGAAGGTCAGAAAAGTAAATTAACTCAAAAACAGACTGAAGCTATGGCTTTGGGAGGTGATCCCCTTCTCACTCAGTTATCCTGGAGCCACTGGAAGAAGAGCTGTCCCTTCATTACTAAACTTCAGCACAATGCAGGTGTCTCACCCATCTGCTGTACATTCTAAGGTTTCAGACAAAGCTCAAGTGTGATGTCAGCACAGAGTTATCCTCTGTCCCAAAACTAAAGACTGGGAGGTGGGGAAGACAACACAGGAAGCTCTCATACCAGGTCTGCCACCATCTTCTGCATGTACTTTGTGCATTTTTCCACCTCGTTCTTGGGTCCTCTAAGTTGGACAATGTCACTCTTGTGTGCTGGGTCTGGGAAGTTGATGATAACCTGCAAGAGGTGGTCACTTAATGGCAGAATCACGTAACATGCAAAGGTGTGATTGGCATAGCACAGCACAATTCCTCTGTCCCAAGAATCAGTAACCCTTCAGTAGAAAGGATCTTTGTGTTAAAGAACATTCTTGCTAAGGAGGGACAGAGTGACACACAGATTGCAAATTGCAGCTTGCTAGGAGAAGCCTTACCTCTGGGAATTTATCTCGGATTTCCCGGATCCGCTCACCCTTCTGCCCAATGATGGTTCGATGGAATCTCTGCTCAATAATTAGGTCCTTGGTACGTTCGTTTTCCTGAGAACATATAGATGACAATTATGTTTTCATCAGGATGAGTTCCATGCCCTTTATTTACTTCATTTTGCGGGATGGCAATTGATCAGGCAGTCACGTCTTTCAGATAACTCATCTTCTATGCCAGACTAGAGCTACTTTTCTGTAAAGCTGAAAAGTGGACTCAAATACCCATAGACAAACAAATTTATTCTGCTTCCAGCAAGAGTACAGTATGGTACACAAGTGCTGGTTGTGGGGAAAGGCCACCTTTGCTCGAATTCCAGAAGTAGTCATAAGAAATGGTATAGACACATTGCCAATGGGGTCTCTGTTAGTCAAAGTCAATTCCGTGGTGCTTTCTTGCTCACCATACGTGAAGCAAGTTCCAGCAGCTCTTTCTTGGCCTGGTGGACACCTTGAGGGTCTCCTTCAATTCTGATCAGGTTGCTCTTCTCATTGTCTGGAGGAATACGCACAGACACCTTGTACTGATCTTTGATCCTGTTAACTGCAAGAGAAAGATTTTGCTGAAACACTCGTCCATTCTGTCACACCTACCAGTGCAGGACTGGAAGCTAGGAGGTGTCATTACAACAGTTCTCTCATATAGTGATTACCTGAACCCTAGACCAGCCTCTCCAAAAGGGGGGGGGAAGGGGAGGAGAAGAGGGGGATTTTTAAAAAGAGGTGGTGAGGTAAAGCTTTTCCACCTGGGAGCTCAGCAAAAAGCAGGATTGTCTATTGCACAATAAAAAAACACTCAGCAAGAACCTACAAGGACAGACAGCACAGCGTCTACAGATACAAGGAATGCAGTATCTGCCACTTTTATTCCTGGAACAACAACTTGAATCAGATGTTCCTTCTGCAGGCACAAATAGGCATGAACTTAGAATCTACTCTCCAGGACCATCTTCCCAGATAATTTTTTCTATTAGTTAAACCTTTCCTCTTAAGTTAACTCTCCACCCTGATCTGGAGGGAGGCCTCTCATCTTGGATGAAGAGGTTTCACACCCATCTAATCCTCCAGGACAACTTCAAGAGTTAAAATAAGTCTTGTAGCTTGCGCCTCATCTAATGTTCCTTGAGTGAACAGCCCTTTTGAGAAGCTGCTGATCAGTGTAAAGACAACATGTGATATTAATACGGCCCGTGGAATTTCAGCCACTGTCTAATGAAGATTAAGGAGATGGTACAAATACAGCTGTAAGAGCATATTACATTGCCCATAAAAAGGCATCTCACTCACTATTGGCTCCATTCTTTCCAATGAGGTGTCGGTGGAACTTGTGGTCAACATTGATCTCCACATAATCCATCCGGTTTATCTGCAAAGAGCAGTGCAGGGTTAGGTAGACTGCAGAGCACTAGTTCTTGCATCTGTTGTCCATAATAATTGGCTATCAATGCTAGCCCTTTGACAACTAATCACAAACACTCCTACTGCTGCTGAGTTGAACAGCATCATTAAGTTACTCTGGTCTGTATTAGTAGTGCCCAGTGTGTGAAACACTAAGCCCCCATGCAATCTCACAGGTCCTAAAGTGAAAGCCTTCTCTTGGGCAGCTACCACCACCTGAAAGAGTCTTCTTGTATTGCATCAACACCACTTCATCTCTTAGTAAGTCTTAAGGCAAATTACTGAGAGTCAGAGGATGCTTCATGATGAATGCTTTAATTTCAACTCATTGTACGTGTCTAAACTGCCTGCTTTTTGTCACATCCCTGTCCCCCATCTGCGGGTATAATGTTTATGAAAGAGGATTTGCAAGCTGGCCCTTGTTTCTTGTTACTGCCATCTCTGCATTCTTCTTACTTTTACAATAGCTCGGAGCCTTACCCCACTGAAGCTACAACATGCCAACTCACCAGATCCTTGACCATGACCTCAATCTGTTCCTGAGCCACATTCACGTCCTCTGTGGGTCCCTCAAGGGTGATTTTATCCTCCCCTTCAGTGAACTCGATATGAACCTTTAAACAAGACAAGGAAAGCCGTAAAAGCTTCAAGACGCGCAACCCAGATCAATGCTGCTGGCCATGACAAAGCCATCCATCTCTGCTGCTGAGGGCTGATTTGTTTCCCTCCCACTTGGGGAGCACACAAGTTGCATGTTATCCTTTGCTTATTTTTGTGAAGGGATGACCACCTATATCAAAGGCCACATGGTTGAGTGTCTAGAGCAGGTGCCCTGGGGTCTACTCCTGACTCCCAGAATGACTTTGGGCATCTCACTCCACCTATGATCTCCATTTTACAGATGGGGGGGAGGGGGCGGAAATCAGCTTACTGACCCTTTGAAGCCCGTGAATGACAGCACCATACAGAAATGCAATTACTACATCTTGAGGTTGTTTAATAAGAATTGCACAAACTTTCATATGGAGAATTCAGCCTGTCTTACTGATTATTTGAACCTATATAAAAAAAGGAGATATTCTGAAGGGAAAAGTGGTATTACTGATCCCAACTGCAAGAGCATCTTGTAAAGAAGGATACTCTCTTCTCCATTCCCGTCCATTTCTAGCGACGGGCCTATAATATTTACCAGAGATCTAGACACCTTTAGAGAGGTTCGGAGAGAAAGGGCAGAGACCATTTTTCTAAGGAAAGGCAGAGGAGTTGAGTGAAGTGGGTGAGGCTGCCATGAACGGTCTATACCTTTGGCATCTGCTGAGTGATTTTGGCCAGATTTTGTCCCTTCTTTCCAATGATGAAACGGTGAAGCCAAGAGGGGGCAGAGACTGAGGAGACGGTGAAGCTGTTAGCCTAGGGGAGAGGAAAGACTATGAAGGCTCATCACAACATACCCACCATACAAGGGCTATTGCAGCTTGCATCTCAGCACCAGCCTTGTTAGTACAGAGTTCTCAAGTTAGCTATCCATATACAAGAGCAAAATGGAGATGCTCATGGCCTCCAGATGCTTAGGGGATCCATTCAAATCTATGCCTTTTAACCAGAGTAGTTCAGAAAGTTGCTTATGGGGGGGCCCCCGACCTAAAAGACATGGCTTGGCAACTTAAGCTGACATGTACTATTTATGCATTACCTTGGCATAGACTTCAGTCAATGCCTGCCCAAGTTTTTCAGGCTCGCCACGCAGTATCACCGTCTCAGAGCTGCTGTCAGTGGGTGGGATCTCGACTGAGACTCCAGTTTTCTCCAAGATCTCCTGCAGGGAATTCCCCTTAGGGCCGATGACATATTTATGCTGGGACTTTTTCACCTCCACTGCAATGGTCGTAGTCTTTTTTTTCTGTGTGGGGAAGAGGTGTGAGGGCATCAATCACAAGTGGCAGGGAAAGAAAAGGGGGGAAAAGCCACCAGATTCTGGGCAAAAGAGTTTTACTGTAAGGAGCAGGATAAGGAAGAAAAAAAAACAACCAGTTGTAGGGTAATCCAGGACCTTTTTTTTTTTTTTTTTTTAAGTTTGGGCTCTTGCTGGGATCTATGATCAAATCTGGTGCTTATAAGGATTTTCAAGTAAAGCACGCCATCTGCTATTAGATTGTAAACTCCCTGGGGCAAGGACAGCCATATGTGCATGCACACATGTATATCGTGCCTACCTTGATTCCCAATTGTGTTCTCAAGGTGATACCCAGACTGCAATAAGTACATGAGTTATAGGATAGGGATTTCAGCAAAGGTAAAGTATTCAGACTCCGCCATGGGGGAGCAGTCCTGCGATTCATAGCTGGAATGTCAATAGCAGCTAATGGAAAGTTAACAGGAGAGACATGTACTCTGCAGCTATCATAACAAGTTAGCTAGTCTCCAAGCCCCATTTGTCCTGAAATTCCTCTTTCCCTCAGTTTTGGGTTTTGTTTTTTTAAATTTAAATCAGATGCAATTCCTTGTGGCAGGCTGACCACATAAGAAATGTTAGAAGCTGAACATTCAATACCTCACCACACCACAAGACCCACTTTTCTCCAACAGCGGATGGTCAACACGGCTGACCAGATCCAACAGACCTAAAACTTATGGGAAGGGTAACAAAAAGGGGTCAACAAGAGGAGTATATGGTGGGTAACATAACGTAGGGAGGAAGAGGCAGTTATGAATGCGAGAGATTCTCTCTAGAGCACCCATACCTTCTCCTCGTAGATCTTCTTAATACGAGCTACAGCTTGGGCCAGCTGCTCCTTTTCACCTGTGAAGACTATCTCTGTCTTGTTGACGCTGGGTGGTGGAATGTTGATGCGTGTCCCTGTCTCCTGCATGATCTCACTCACCAGCTTGTTGAAAGGGCCAGCAATGAAGGGGTGGTACACTTTATCCACATCCAGTCTCTCCACTGCACGCTTATCCTTCACAAAGGCAAAACAAGACAGATTATTCACAGAGCTCCATGGGTATGTTCTAGGTAAAGTGTGCTGGAAAGTTCCCACTCTGGAGAGCAGAGTTCTCAAGTATGGACTTCTTACTTCTCTACAAGAGTGCCCTATACCCCTGGATACAAGTATCCCTTGTATTCATAATCCTTTTAAAATTCATCCCTTAAATCTTCTGCTCCTGTAAAGAGCCTTACTACCTATATCATGACAACATTCCCATCCATGAAACCCCTCCTCCTTTCACCTGGCACCTATAGCCTTTTTCACCCCAAGGATCTCATAACATTTTAAAAGGGTAATACTTCCTATCCGTCTTTGTAGAAACGGACAGGTGGAGGAACAGAGCCAGTGGCACGCAGGGCTTGAGGCCAGGGCTCCTGACTCCTAGAGCTGCACTTTGACCACTAAACACAACACTGTCTCTCCACTGAACTATGGTCCTTTTGTACAATGAGGCTGCACCATCTTGTGCGACAGCATGCATCTACCTGTTCCCAGGAGCCAGGGAAGATGGTGCCACTCAGATACCTGCTCAGCGGAGATCAGCAGGATCTCGTGTCGGGCCTTCTCTATCCCTTCCTTGGTGCCGGTGATCTTGATCTGGTTGCTGGGGTCATCCGGGCGGGGGATCTGGATTTTGGTTGCAGTTTTGAGCTCCAGGTCCTGCAGCTTCTCGCCGTTCTTGCCAATGACAAAGCGATGATGCTCCTTGGGAATGGCAACTGTCGCTGAAGCCTGCAACACAGGAACCAAACACTGGAATGAGTACTCATCTGTCATGGTCAGAAACAGAAGACCCAAGTTAGCTGCCTCTCAGGATGGCGTTACAGAACAAGACAAGTCCCCTTAGCCAGGGGTTATGTTCTGTCTGAGGAATAAGATACTGATTATTTCCTTCTATGGAGCCTGTATTACCAACAAAAATGAAAAATTAATTGCTTTCCTCACCCAAATAGCAGTATTTTGAGTTAATTTAGATCTTGTAAGAGATATGAGAAGGAAGCTCTGGAGACTGAAGTCCCCTAGTCACTGATGGCAAGGTCCCCTAGATACACCATGGGCAGGAGCAGCGCAAGCAACTTTGTACTGCAGCTACAGTTTAGAGAGCCTGCCTTGAGGATGTGTGTTGATTCAGACTTTTGGCCTCTGCTGCTAAGGTTGCTGAGACCTTAGCATGTGGGCACTTGTTCACTAGGGACTCGATCAAGACCACTTATTTCACAGAGAGCAGACAGCTATTAGATGGTAACCTTTGCTCACTACTGAAGTGGTACATTTGAACATGTGCTCTACTAGCAAAAGGCACTGTTCCTGGAGTCATCCCAGGACTGTAGAGGCTACTTTTTCAGAACCTACTCTCTGAATCTGCCATTAAGGGTTAGGTATGTGCTTGGGAATATTTCCTTTTCTTGTATATCCCATCACTTCAGTTTTAACCTTTTTGCTATCTTGGTGGCTTATGATCCTATGGGATCTCTTGATGCCAGTTCATGTATATAGAGACTTTAAGAAGTTACACACACACACACACACACACACACGAGAAAAAGTCAAGGCAAACAAAAATCTTTAGTGGTGTAGCCTATAGACACAACTTGGGCTTCAATTCTACTGCCTGCTACTTTTTTTGGGGGGGGAGGGGGAGGGGGGGGGAGTTTAAAACAAGAGATACAGGGATGAGGAAGGGGGTGGAAAAAGATTCTGGGCAAGTGCGATAGGAAACCTTAGCCCAATATCCCCAAATGTGCTGTATTTGAGCAAAAAGTGCTCTCCTACAGCACTCCCAGATGTGCCTCATTCTAAAGCCTGTATCATTGTTTACAATCTGATTGTGTGAGATGTGTGGGTGGAAAGGTACTGTTGTGGTGTGTACATTAGCGTTATCAATGGCAACTGCCTCTACTGGAAATGCATTTGAGAAACCTTAACGGCAAGTTAAAAGTGAGCTGAGAGATGTTAAAAAAATATAGAAAGAAAGCCTTGATAATACTCTTGTCCTCAGACAGATTATAAAAATATGCAGCAGTGAGAGGAGAAAACAATTGCATCTATGGGGTTTTGGTACTCAAGTCCCACTTGTAAGCTATGTCATCAGAAACCCCTGATTGTATTACTATCTAGTAACTCCTCTCCTTCACCTCCCTCATTTATCTGTATGTATATACCACACTAACAGTTAACCATCTCCCAGGTAATACCAGCTTCTTGTGAGGGGTCTGCAGTCTCTCCAGGTACAATGTCTTGTTTGTATAGCAGATGTTGCAGGGATCTAGCTGGGGAGGAGTTTACACCATGGCCTGTAATTAGCTTTGAACCCTATTTCAAGCCTGGTCTCCATCCCAATTCATCATTTGTGCATTTTGAAAGAGGCAAGGCAAAACTAGATTAGTCATCTAATTACAACCCTTCAATTTATGAGCACTCACGCCCAAAGGCCTCCAAGCAGCAGGGCATCTTGTTGGAGGAGCAAAGACAAGTAGAAGAGAACAGTTAGATACACTCACCTGTGTCTGAAGCCGAGCGACAATCTCCTTCCGAGCTTTCATGACTGCTTCCAGCTTGCCAGAGACCATGATCGAAAGACCCTGGTCCTTTGCGAGAGAGAGCTCCAGGTGAGCGCCAGTCTTCTGCATGATGTCCAGGCAGATCTTGGCCTGCTCTCCTTCTCCAAACTGGTTCATGTCCTTGTATTTCCTTTCCTCCAGTGGTACATGAAACACCTGATTAACCCATATAACAGGGCAGATTATTCAGTGTGACACAGGCGGTTGAGTTATATGGACAAGCCCTACTGTTTAGGCTACGAGTTGGGTTACTACACTGGATCTTCACCCTTCACAAAATTAAGATACTCATGCAGGAGGCTGAGCCATCAATTCTTGGCAGTTTTAATAAGCTGCTTTATTTATGCCACAGGAATCTGCTGCATGCCAGCATTACATGCTTTCAGAGAAAGGTGCAAGAACCCCACAGCAGGCAGAAGTGGGATAGTCTGTTCCCAGAAAGGTCTCATTCTAACTCCCCGACCCCAGTTAGAGATGAACTTAAGCCCTGAAGCATGAGCTTTTATATCCTTTCAAAGTTTTAGTATTAGGTATTAGAACTCAGGATATTTTTGTCCATTCTCAAGATTACCAATACTATTTATCAAATGAGGGTGTATGGACAAGAATAAGACACTCTTTTAGCTAACTCCTCTTCCACTGAACTCTCTATCACAGCAATGCTGGGCATACTCATCTCTGCAAGCAGCGTCCTTCTGTTGGCATATCACTTTCACCTGCAGTACTTCCTCTCCCTGTACCCTGGGTCACTGGAGAGGAGGAAACCACTCTCCACCCTCCCTCAGCATACTACCTAATGAGTTCTTAATACAGATGAGCATCCCTTATTTTTGGAATGGGGAGGAGACAGACTGTTGCGGGGGGGAGGGGGGGCAGGGGATGAGAAGTTTGGCTTCCACCAACCTGAGTGATGACAGAAGCCTTGATCGGTCGAATTTTGCTCCAGGCACCAGCCGGTTCCTGGGCAGGTTCCAAACATGCTGCTTTCTCAGGGAGTGGAGGAAAGGCATCCTTATAAGTTGGAGGGTCATTTTCCTCTTCAGAGTTTAAAGCTGCAACTGCAGTGAGGCAAACAATACAAAGTTTTAATTGCCAGCAATTCTCCCATTCATGCCCATTGCAGATGTCTATTTAAGTAGGGTTGAGAGAAGCAGGTTGTGCACTATTGGGAATGATCATTAATAATTAGGTTTATTATGGCAGTGCCCAAGGACCAACCCAGAACAGGGCTCCATTGTGGTAGGTACTGTACAAAGAGAAAGTAGACAAGTCCCTGCCCCAAAGAGATTACAATCTAAATAGACATGACAAACACAGGGTGGGGGGAAAAGAGCAAAACACACCAGCAGAGTGAACAAACTGATGGCAACAAACTGCACATTAGTGCCACAATATGCATTTATTTAGGGTGGGTTCAGTTAAGAAGGGGATCAGCTATATGCAAAGAAAAGTGAAGAGGATGAGGCAGACAGGGCAAGGGATAGGAAGGTAAGAGGGGCAGGTGTGGAGTCAAGCTGAGGTGAAGAGACTGAGGGAGATGGAAGGTTGGAGCAAACAGAGCAGAAAAAGTCCAGCAAAATCCTGGATATTGGGCAAGGGGAAGCTCAGGTATGATCCACTAGGGAACTAGCAAGAGCTCTAAGTACACTGGACCAAGTTAAGATCTGTTGTGAAGTAGGTGCAACTCTTCTCAAGTTAGAGTTGGCCCACTGTGTTGGAAGGATGGGAGACAGAGTCCACCAGTAGCTTCTCCCACATAGCTGCGGCCATGAAAGTGAGAGTGTGGAAAGAAACAGCCCACGGCACCTGACCCTGCTACTAAAAGAGCAAGTACTCTCACATCACTGTGTGTTGCTCTCCCAGATACACCCTATTCTACCACTGTTGTCACAATCTGCTTAAAAGGAGGATTCCTTATAGAGGCTGAGGGCCTGATTCTCTCAGGTCATTTACACCTGGGCAAAATAGATATGAAATACTACCATTCTACTCTAGGTGGGTAACCATAATCTGATGGCCCAACCATACTATGAATAAGGAGACCTCTTCTTTGGCTGCCCACAAGTACCATGCAATTCTGAAGCACTTGTAGGTAGCAGGAGGGACCCCATCTGTGCAGCGAATATCAAGTGGGATTTCATAGGAACTTTGTGACCATCTTACCTTTCACCTGCTGCTGAGCCAGGCCGCTGCGGTGTTCAGCGAAGCTCTCCTGGGTCAAAACTGCCACAGAGCTCATTGTCGATTTCCCACCTACACACAATCCGGGTATGCCACTGGGAGACAGCAGGGTGCACTGTTTATCACCAGCATCACCATAACCAAAAACAGGGAGGTGGACTTCCCCATGGGCAGAATTTAAGAGACTAGTTTAAAACTTAATTTGGAGTGAAGGAGCCACTGTGTTTACCTGAGAGCTTCCATAAAAGTGAAAACACCTCCCCCATACCATGCCCAGGAAGGAAGCAGTGACTAAGATTCTTGTCAGTATCAAGGGGAAACCATTTCTCATTTGTACATGTCATCTAGGGACAAATTGATGGTAAATCAAACACACACACACCCCATTAGTAGAGCCCTGCATGGATACAAAATTTGTATCCACATCCAATCTGCAAACCTGGTCCGCGGATATAAAGCGAAGATCTGCAGATTTGCAGGGCTCTATTAATTAGCGACCACACTTCTGCAAGGCAGGGAAATGCAAAATCCACTGGGGGGGGGGGAGGGATAGCTCAGTGGTTTGAGCATTGGCCTGCTAAACTCAGGGTTGTGAGTTCAATCCTTGAGGGGGCCACTTGGGGATCTGGGGAAAAATCAGTACTTGGTCCTGCTAGTGAAGGCAGGGGGCTGGACTCAATGACCTTTCAAGGTCCCTTCCAGTTCTAGGAGATAGGATATCTCCATTAATAAAATAATTTTTTCCTATTTACCAATGGATTTGATTCTGCAGTGATCACAAAGGACAGTACAGATACTGAGGAAGCTACTTGCATGGTTTCAAGTATCAGGGGGTAGCCGTGTTAGTCTGTATCTACAAAAACAACAAGGAGTCTGGTGGCACCTTAAAGACCAACAGATCTATTTGGGCATAAGCTTTCATGAGTAAAAACCTCACTTCTTCGGTGCCACCAGATTCCTTGCTGTTTTTGAGGAAGCTTCTGTATCTTGCCTAGCCCCTGCCTCTAGAGTTTCTACTATGTGGACTCTTGTCCTCTTCCCACTGCTTTCTATGCTTGGAGTACGATCACGGAACAAACATTAGCAACAAATCTAGATTAAGCAATTAGCTAGGTTTTCTCTCAGATTCATCCTTGGCACTCCGAGTGCTCATCACCTTTCATGGTCAACTACAGCTCCACCTCACCTCTAGCTTGGCAAGCCAGAATCACTATGACCAACACTCGTACAAGCTGTGTGAAACTTGTTTCACGAGCAAGATTGGAGTTAAGTCCCTCTCCCGACAAACAGCCCTGAAAAACAGTTGCTTTAAAGGAGCAAAGCGGTCTATGGCAGCTCCCACTCTCAAGCTTTCCATTCAATCCAGTAACAGAACGTATTGACCTTAACACAGACCAACATTCCACATTCTAAACTCAGTGCTCAGAGGTCAGAAGGGTGGGATGTCCACAGCCTATGCCTACAGAAGAGGGGAACACAAGTAGACTAGCACCCTCTAATTATCCTATCTACATTTATCATTAAGGTGGGTTTTTGTTGTTGTTTTTAAATTCAATGACCATACATTGACCCTGGATGGGATAAAACTGCAGAAAGGTGCTCTCTCAAGTACAGGTCCATCATGCAAGAAAGGTCCATAATGAGAAAAGATAGCTGTGGGCAGATGTCACTGCAGAACACTGGTAATTTCTCTTTGCTGAGCAAGTGGCCCAGAAATAGGAAAGTCTGATATATACAAACAGTAACTTACCAGCTAAATGGTCAGTAGCCAGAAAGTCCGTCCTGTTAGCTGCCTGTTTGTCAGCCTGCCAGCTTTTGCTTTATAGAAAGAAAAAAAAAGTTATTAACTGTGTTCCAAGACAAAAGAAAATATGACACTCCCCCCCCCCCACCCCAATCCTGTAGAATTTCTAAAGTGTTGCCTTTACTGTATTTTTTGTTTCAAACTAAGTAAGCCTCTGTGCCATCTCAAACTTGCCCATCATCAAGGAAACTCCAACACTAATTCACAGATTGCTGCATCACCTCCATATTGTTTAACCACAACCATAGGGAATCACCAGCACAAAGCTAAATCCCACAGGAAACTTTGTTCGGTTACCCTGCCTACAAAAGCCTATATAGTGTAAGGCTGGAATACAGCAGATTAGTAACAGATGTAGGATATGAATTGGAAGTTTCAGGATTGAAAACCACAGCATCAACAGCAATCCATCTAGTTGGAGGAAACAACCTGAAAAACTGCCAATAAAATTGACAGTCAGAAGTTAGGAATGTAACTTAGCGAAGCCCGGGTGAATCAATGCAGACTCTTCCTCAGAACCCAAGACAGAGAGAGACATAGCTGCATGCAGACAGGTGCTGGTTATAACAAACACTAGACACTAAACTTGAGTCTTTAAACATATTCTAAGTCCCCCTGCCAGGTATACCCACCTTGTCAAGAGAGCTTCCCCAAGAACTTCAGAGATTTTGAAGTTAGCATATAAGCAACCCCAAAAGCTAACATCTAATCATCAGCTGGAGGGACAAGGCCACCTTTTACTCCAAGTATTGCAGTTTAGCTTTGAAGAGGCTTTCACTAAGTGTTCCACAAATGATGCTCATCTCCTAAATCCGTTCCCCACCTTCTCAATAAGCCAGTACCTCTATCATTTCTTTGACTGCCCCAAAGCATGCAAGAAGTGTCACAAAAGTCAAGACTCAGTCTTTGCTGCTAAGAGGTCACAATCTAAACGAGACATGACACAATAAGTGATGGTGATTGACTAAGGGGGGCAGGGGAAGAGGAGGAGGAAAGGACAAGACTAGCAAGGTCACCACAATGTAAGGGCCTGATCCAAAACTTGTTGAAGATCTTTGGGAGTCTTTCCAGTGTCTTCAGTTGGCCTTGGGATCAGGCCTAGACACATGATGGTTCCCTTAGTTTTTGGTTTTACAAAGAACATTTACTCACCTTCTCATAACTGTTGTTCTTCGAGAGGTGTTGTTCATGTCCATTCCAATCAGGTGTGTGCGCACGCACGTGTACAGTAGCCAGAAGATTTTTCCCCTAGCAGCATCTGTCAGGTCGGCCTGGGCGCCCTCTGGAGTCATGCCTTCATGGCGCCCAATAAAGGGCCCTGCCGACCTGCCACCCCCTCAGTTCCTTCTTGCCAGCTACTCCAACAGCGGGGTAGGAGGGTGGGTATTGGAATGGACATGACCACCACATCTCGAAGAACAAGGGTTACGAGAAGGCGAGTAACGTTTTTTCTTCACATGCTTGTTCATGTCAATTCCAATTAGGTGACTCATAAGCCCAAGTTCAGGAAGCGGGGTCAGAGTTGTCCATTGATTGGAGCACTGCTCGTCCAAAGGCCGCATAGTCTCTGGCCTGCTGGGTAATCGCATAGTGCGTGGCAAAAGTATGGATGGAGGACCATGTCACTGCTCTGCAGATATCCTGAGTGGGAACATGAGCCAGGAACGCTGTTAATGAAGCCTGCATCCTGGTGGAGTGTGCAGCGATTGGAGGTGCAGGAACCCTGCCAAGTTGTAGAACTCAGGAATACAGGACGCTATCCATGACAAGATGTGTTGTGACAATATCGGCAGACCTTTCATTCTGTCCGCCACTGCCATGAATAACTGGATCAACTTTCTGAATGACTTCGTTCTCTCCATGTAGAAGGAGAGTGCCCTGTGGACATCCAGTGAGTGAAGTCTGCTCCCTGCTACTGGAATGCGGCTTAGGGTAGAACACCGGGAGAAAGATGTACTGGAAGCGGGATCTCCAGTGCCTGGGTCCAACTGAGGTCGGAGAGCTGCCTCCATGAGGAGGCTTTTAAGCCACTGCTCCCTCTGTTTAGGAGTTCTTGGTCGGAATTCCCAACAGCTCTTGCAGCGATCTTTTTGGTGACCCTCGCCCAGACACCATAAACAGGAGGCGTGGGGGTCACTTTTAGGCAGTCGTGGCAAGTCTTGAAGCCCGGGAATCACGGCATGTCCCAGTGACAAATAAGGGGGAGGAGAGAGGAAAGTAACAATTAATAGCGAAAACCGAAATTACTGCTAAGCCGCTTGCCGAAGCAAGAGCAAGGGGAAGTTCCAGCTACCATCACTGGTGGTAAGAAGGAACGGAGTGGGTGGCGGGCTGGCAGGGTCCTTTATTGGGTGCCATGAAGGCGTGACTCCAGGGGGCGCCCAGGCCGACCCGATGGCTGCTGCTAGGGGAGAAAAAAATCTTCCGGCTACTATACACATGCACACACCTGATTGGAACTGAGATGAACAAGCATTCAAAGAAGAACAAACATTAAAGTTACTTATATTATAGTTATTGTAGCCAGCAGGGAATAAACGGGGAAAAGGTTGAGGGAAGGTGAAGCTAGCCATTCTGTTAAATTAGAGCACTGCCAGTAACATGTTCTGGAAGGAATATGCCAATATATTTGTATGTATGGCTAATACTCTAACCTAAGAGACAAACTCTAGTCTAGTTAATGGTAAGAAGGAGCCTTCATCCTTAGAGGTTTTTAAGGCCTGGCTTGACAAAGCCCTGGCTGGGATGATTTAATTGGTGATGGTCCTGCTTTGAATAGGGGGTTGGACTAGATGGCCCCCTGAGGTCTCTTCCAACCCTAATATTCTATGATTCTAATGACAGAGTCAGTGTGATAACCTGCTTAGGGCTGTAAACCTTGATGTTAAGCCATGATGGTACAGTCAAAGAAAGTGTGTTAACTAAGTCTCACCCTTCCCAACCTATTTGCGTCAAGGACCAGAGTTTCAGCCGGAGGTATTGACATGATAGACACGAGTATGGATGAAGAGGTCTTCACCCAACCATGACCTGCGAATAGCAGTAAGGATACAGAAGGAATATTACTATCCTGGCCATAAGCAGTCATGATCTACACAGAAGTTGCAGATTTCTGTACTGCCTAGAACCTGAATCCATTCATGTTGAAGACTGCAGTGCATTGGTGTCTGGCAGTGATTCAGATTTCCCAGAAGAACACAATTTCCTGCTAACCAGAAGTGGGCTTACTTTGCACATGCTCTGCTCCTCAATGA